TGTCGGCATGGCGACAGTGCCGGCGCGATGGGGCTGCTGTCTCACCTCTGCCTTACTCCCCACAGATTACAAAGTGGGATGAACCTTCAGATTTGCTTCGTGAACGACAGTGGCAGTGACAAGGACAGCGATGCCGACGACAGCAAGACAGAAACCAGCCTGGACACGCCGTTGTCACCCATGGTAGGTCTGGGAACGTATCCTGCAGAGGCTCTGGAGCATGGAAACCGTGAGGCCATCCATCGTGGAAGCTGATAAAGAGCTGATGCTATTCAAGTAGCAGTGCTAAACCCCAGAGCAGCATCTTCAGCCATCAATAAATGGAATGCGAGATGCTGAGGGGCTGATAGCAGATTGCCCCTGGCTAGCACAGAGCTGCTGTAGAGCAGATGCCTTCATGTGAGTGTCTTCCTTCCTTCCTTCCTCCCTTTCTTTTTGGCTCTGATAATGATCAGGACCATAATGGATACAGAGCGTATCAGCTCCCACCAGCTTTCCCCTCCTCTCTTGTCTTTCATCAATATAACACAGAGGCCCCAGATATTTTCCTCCAGATTGTCCCTTCTACACCTATTGATCCGCTTGGTTCCTCTTTCCATTTGAAGTGCTATTAATAGTCAGGAGGGCCTGTCTGGGAATAACTCTGATTTTTAAAGGTGATATTGGGGAATAAAAAAAACCAATCTGTGCTCTTCACCTTTTCTGTAGAAACAATACCACTTGTAAGCACACAAAAATGTGTTAAGCTGACAGCAGACTTCTTTGCTGTGGCAGAGTTGGGGTGATGGGGCTGTAACGGCTGCGTGTCTGCTTCCCTAGAGCAAGCAGAGCTCATCCTACTCCGACAGAGACACGACGGAGGAAGAGTCGGAGTCCCTCGACGACATGGATTTCCTCACCAGGCAAAAGAAACTCCAAGCTGAAGCCAAAATGGCCTTGGCTATGGCGAAGCCCATGGCCAAAATGCAGGTCGAGGTGGAAAAGCAGAACAGGAAGAAATCGCCAGTAGCAGATCTTGTAAGTGGGGGCTGTGGGATGGCGCGGGGGGGTAACACAACCCCTTGGCTTGTTGAGACATGCACAGCGGCTGGCTGTACTTGCTCACCGTGCTTGCAGACGTGCAGCCGTGATAGGGACCGTTGAAGGTTTGACATCTCACCAGGGCATTATGGGAGCAGGATGGGTGCAGGGAATGAGATGGTGAAGTGTGAAGGTTGCTACCGCCTTGGGGCTGGCACGATGCTGCTCATCCTCTAAGGCATAGTCTGCCCATCCCAGGGCACTCCTGCCTCGGTACAACGCTGCTCGCCGTAGCCCTCACCTCCCCTTGTGTCAATCTGAAGACTTGGGACAAGCATTGTGTAGCTGTTCCAGCTCGTTTTGGCACTCTCAGGGCAGTCGTTGATGCAGTGTGCGAGAGGGGGACACCTGCAGTGCAAACTGCCACCCTTTGGGAATGCAAGTCATGGGAAGAAAACATTAAAAAGTGACAATTTCTTTTCAGCTGCCACATATGCCTCATATAAGTGAATGCCTGATGAAGAGAAGTTTAAAACCCACTGATCTAAGAGACATGACTATCGGGCAGCTACAAGTGATAGTCAATGATCTCCACTCACAGATAGAAAGTAAGTGACACTTGTTTCATTGTTCTTTGGCATGTCCCATTTCATTAAGAACAGTTCTCCAGGATACACATAGAAATGTTGATAAATGTGTAATAACATGCATCACAGAGTCACAGAAGGGTTTGGGTGGGAAGTGACCTTAAACACCACCCAGCCCCACACCCTGCCATGGGCAGGGACACCTTCCACCAGACCAGGTTGCTCCAAGCCTCATCCAGCCTGGCCTTGGACACTTCCAGGGATGGGACATCCACAGCTTCTCTGGGCAACCTGTTCCAGTGCTCCCCACCCATTCTGGGAAGAATTTCTCCCAGATATATGGAAGAGGCGCACCACAGCAGCTGGAGATGGAGTTCTCTCCAGATTTGACTCCTTCAGCCTTTTTCTTTCCCTTTTCCCGTTTCTCCCAAAGCACTCGCTTGGCTCCGTAAGAGAGGAGGGCTGTAGCATTGTGCCAGCACCTAACACCCCATGTGTAAATGAAATCCTGGTTGGTTAAAAATAGTCTTGGGAAGTCTGCCTGTCCTGAAAGCACCTGCCATTTGTGTCTCTGGCTGTGCCTTCATGTGACACTATGCCATGACACCAAAACCATCTGTACGTGGAGAAACCCTCCGGTTTAGCGAACATCCCAAGGGAAATCCACTTTTGCAGCACTTCAGCGTGTTTCACGGGTCCTTGCAACCTAAACAATTCTATGATCTTTACTTTTGGTGCTGCATTAAGATATTTCAAGAAAGAAACTGCTTGCACGCAGTGGCAAGGGGCTTACAGTTTATCCTGCAAAACATGGATTGGAGGGGGGTCCCTCCTGTTCTCTGCACCCCAGCTTACGCGTAAGGCAGTGGGGAAGGACTCTGTAGAGGTCCCAACTTGGGGTTCCCTGGGATGTCACAAACTCACCCCCTTTCTCCCTGGCACCAGGCTTGAACGAGGAGCTGGTGCAGCTGCTGCTCATCCGGGACGAGCTGCACACGGAGCAGGATGCCATGCTGGTGGACATCGAGGACCTGACCAGGTGAAGGAAGCTCCCTGGGGTATTTTCCTTTCCTCGCAGGTCCCAGCTTATCGTCGGCAGCATGTAGGGGGTTTCTTGTAGCGGAATTTCAGTACTAAAGCTTTTGCCACCAAAGGTAAGGGCCGAGCAGGACACTGCGCTCTCCTCCAGAACAAGGAACGAAGGCGCTTGGGTTCTGGTGACTGTCAGCAGCTGTCAAGAGCTCCCAAAAAGCAGCCATTGGTGCCTGCTCTTGAACTGGTGTTTCCCTTTACGAAGCCTTTTCAGGCTTCAGAAACTGTGAAGCCCGGGAAGGAGCGATGCTGCAAACCCCCAGTGCATCCAAAGAAAATCCGAGCAGCTCCCTGTGTCATTCCACCCTTCTCGCTGGTTAGTCTTTCACCTGACCGACGGGAGAATTTCTGAATCTCTTTAAATGTTAAGGTTCAATAGCTGATAAAACAGAAAGCTTTGCAGAATGTAGGTGGGTTTCCTGAAGGAATCCATCTCCCAGGCAGTAAGAAAGACTTAAAAGGCATTTTCCTTTCAGGTAACTAGTGATGCACCAAGAAAAACTTTGGGAAAAAAGCAGCTGAAACAGAAGGTGTGCTGGATACCCTGGATATTGTCAGCACACCAGGACCGCAGTTTTAAAACTGAAGCATCATGCTTGCAAAACATACAGCCTAAATTTCTTGCTATTTTAAGACACCGCGGTGCTGCATAGCAGCCACGTGAGATTTGATGGTGCCTTGCCTGGAAACAGTGTCTCCCGGATGGAGTGGCCCCGAGGGATTTGGGAGCAGTTCTCTTGCTGCCCAGGGGATGGTGGCCCCAGAGAGGAGCAGGCAGGTTGTCACTTCAGAGTCTTGTGAGACACTCTCTGGTTCCCTTAACAAAGAGCAAGTGATGAAAGGGGGGCGTTTGGGGAGGGGTGTGAGCTGGGTCTGTAAGCAAAAACCAATGCCACCCCACATCTCTTTGTGCTTCGGGAAATGCTTTGCTTCCTAAATTCAATTAATGGCAGTTTAGTGAATTAAATTCATTGGGAATTTATTTTGGCTTTGGTGCGTGTTGGGGGGCACCAGCTCCCCCCCCCAGCCCAGCGTTGTTTGGGGGCGAATGCACCGACCATCACTGCGGGAGGGGAGGAGATGGCCCCAGCTGACCCAAAACCGCGCTGGAGAAGGGTTTCTTCTCCGCTGCACTTCACTTACCTTCCAGTCCCCTCCCGACGGGAAGGAGCCCGGGCAGAGACCGCACATCCCTCGCTCGGTTCCTTTCGGTTCGCTGCCGGCGCGGCGCGGACGCTGGCTTTCAGCACGGCCGTCGTTGGGGCTCTCCCCTCGGCGCAGGGATTAACGTCGCTTCTCTCCTCCCCCCAGACACGCCGAAAGTCAGCAGAAGCACATGGCAGAGAAGATGCCGGCAAAATGAACCCCGGAGCCCCGGGAGCAGAGCTCGAGCGAGACTTCATTTTGCTTCTGTGTGTGTCCAAGCGCTGATGTCCACGGTGGCGCCGAGAAAAGCAGTGTTAGTCATTGACCATGTCTGAAGCTTTATGTCCGGTGATTGGCCTCTGCTTCTTAATTTATTTTAATTTTTTTACTCGTGCCACTAAATATCAGGCATTTTAATAATATTATTACAAAAAAATGTACAGTACTTATAACATTATAAATCATGGGTGAGAAGAGAGGGTAGTTTAACTTTATTTTTGTTTGTTTAGAGATTTTCAGTTGAACGATATTTTGCCATTGACTACTTTTTTATTCTTCACTGTAGTTTTAAAATAAAGAAACTGTACTTGACGGTGCTATACAAGTCAAAAAGAAAATACATGCCTGCCTCGTAGTGAAGTTGTAGCTTTCAGTAATACGTATATTTTAATCAGTTTTCAACATTTTGTGAATGTTGACTACCTGACATTCATTTTTAGATGTGCTATTAACATTCGGTTGGGTTCAGAGAGTTACCTTGAAAGTTTTATGTATAAAGATGTAAAATAAAAATTTAAAAAATTGTTTCATATGATACGTCTTTTTGTTGCTTAGCGCTTGACTTTGGTGACGCACCAGTAACGTACTCCTCGAACTAAATGTGCAATTCCTGATTTGTCATCACCAGAAAGAGCCTTTTGGGGTTGGGTTTGGGTTTTTTTTTGCCTGTGCTATGAAATTAGGAAATTAGGGAGAGAAGACGGGATTTGTGTAGTTAGTTATTTGTAAGTTCATCATGTATGTATGACAGGGACTTCAGAGATTTCTTCTCTAATAATATACACAGGGCCCTAATATTGTGATGACTCGTTAGAATCAGCAGCCACATGCCGTAGGTGGGGGTTTTTTATATTTTATTGTCTGGGCTAAATATTTAAATGACTCACCAGTGTCAGAAATGAAAAAAAAAAAAGCTATGTTAAAAGTCTAAGCAGCATATTAAATGTATTATATATGGTAATCACTCACCTCTCTGCCTTTGGGCTGGGCTCCTGGTAACTGTGTTCCTCAGCCGAGTGCTGGCTGTGTCCTCCTCCGCCTGTACAGGAGGAGGGACACCGTGAGACTAATAGGCCTGTCTCCATCCCTCATTTATTTGATTTAATGCTGAAACAGCTCGGCCGTCCCCTTCCTAAGGCTGCCCGGCCGTAGCCAGCAGCAGACACACGTCGTGCACACCAGCTTTTTCCATTTTAATTCTTTTGTCCTCGGGGGCAGATTCATCTTAGCAAAGGGTCTGGCTAATGACTTATTCAGGGTGTTTTCAGAAAAGCAGGAGCTGCATTAAAATTTCATCCCCTGCCAAGAATGTATTTTATAAAATGACTTTTTTTTTTTTTTTTCCCTTCTCTCTCCCCTTCTTTGCTCAGAAAGCACAGCTTATGGCAGTGCCAGCCCTCAGCAGGGTTTGATGGGGCTGGGGAGGGGGAGTTGCTTTAATTTAGGGTTGGTTGTTTTTCCTTTCTCAGGAGTTGCTCCATGGGGTTTCCAGTGGATGGAGCCTGTCCTGTGTCTGCCGGGGGAGGCCCTGTCCCCAAGCAGGGAGCTGTGCCTGCCTCCGGCTTTTGCAGTGGGATGCTGGGATGGGTTAGGCTGGAGCCCTCACCTGCAGACTAGGGAAGATGTAAACTCGTTTTGCTTTTTATTTTTGAATCTATGCAGAAAAAAATATATATATACTGGGGGTGTTAGTTTCCCTGTAGCTCTTGGCTGGCTTGATGGGGAGACCTGCAGGGTTTTATACTTCTGCACTGTAAAAGGCCATGTTTGCAGTGCTCTGAGGCCAAAACCGTCCCCGCGAGCTGGTGCCCCCATCAGAAGGGGCTGTCGGGGTATCAGTGAGGATTTAAAGCATGAACAGCAAAAGCCCCAAATCTAAAAAGTTTGCTCTCAGCTTTAAAAAAAAAAAAGCAAGAAAGCTCCTGGGAGGGGACCCCATGGTCTCTGCAGCTGCCCCCAGCATTACCCCCAGCCAGGGTCCAGCTTGTGGGGCAGCCTGGGCAGGCTGGAGTTTCGTTCCCTTGCTAAGTGCCTTTAACTTGCTGAAGAGAACTAGTTATTCCAGTCACCTACCGTTGGTTTTCCCCCTTCACATCCTTAGGGGGTTGGGTTTGTTTTTTTTTTTTTTTTAAGAAAAAAACGTGTTTCTGGGAAACTGCATCTCCTTGGCTCTGTGTCGCGTGTACCGAGGTGTCGTGCTGGTGTGTATGATGGCAACGCTGTGGAATTAATGGATTAAATGACATTTTTAAAAGAAAAAGGTGTTGCGTGCTTTCTGAGCTGCTGCCACCACCCTGTCACGGACAATACCTACCTTGTCACCTATTTCTGGGTGTCAGTCCCGCTTTCTGTCTCTCCTGTATCCTCCTGGGTGGGTTTTTGCAGCCTCCTCCCCTTGGCCCCACCAAACATCAACTGTCTCACACGGGATGCCAGACTGCGCAGTGTTTTCCTTCTGCAGGCTGCCCGCAGCTCACTCTGCAACAGGAAAAGTACCTCCCGAGACTGAAGTCACCAAAAATACCTTGATGCAGTCAGCAAAAACACCTACCTGCCCTGCATACGCACGGGGTGATGGGGCTGGGTGCCCCGTGAGCTCTCCGCATCGCCCAGCCTTCCGTGCACGAGCTGCGTTTGGCTGTGGCTAATCCTGTGTATCCACAGGGAATTGCTGTTCCTTGCAGCGTGGGCCTCTTGGGAGCCCCATCCTTGGGATGAATTGGACGTTTTTGTTCTGCCTTCTTTTTTTTTTTTCAACTATTTTTGATGGTTTTCTTCCATGAATGAGGCATTTACATGGTTCCACTTGGGACTCCCAGTATCAGTGCTGTCACCCTGGAGCTGAATTCCCCAGAGGAGACTCAAAGGGCTCTCAGTCAGAAGGTTGCTTTCAATGAGGGGTGAGCTCAGCGGGGACAGTAATAAGCAGATTCTGTTATGACAGCTCCACGCTGGGGACCAGGAGTTGGCATCCAACCACGGGGTGCCCAAAGCCACCCCTGTGCCCACTGCCCCTCACCCATGGGGCAGCAAAATAGCTGTTACCGAGAGAGAGAAATAGGGGAAGAGGCTACAAACTAAATAGTAACGTGGGCAGGGGAAATGTGTTCATTTGGAAAAAGCATTCAAATGGCTAAAAAGCTGACGGAAAGAGCAGGGGTATGTTGGATGGGATGGGGCAGGCCAATGCCCACCAGCGTTCGCTGCCTGTGGTGATGCTGCCTCCAGAGACCAGTGGGACCCCAGGAAAGCCGTACAGAATTCATAGCATGGGAGTGGGAATAAAAAAAAAAGGCTGCAGAGCTGTGATAAATGGCTGTGTTGCATCGGCTGCGGCCGAGGGGCACGCTGCCTGAATAGGTGGGTAGGACAGGACCTGCTCCTCGGTGTGCCGTGTCCTGTCCCCACCCGACACCCCTTTCCCCAGCCATCCAGGGGAAATTCTGCTTGGTTTTCCCTTACCTGCCTCCAGCCGGTCTCACAACATAATGTTTCTTATTTTTTTAAGTCTGTTTCTTGGTCCTAAGCTCACCTGTGCTTGAAATGTTGCATTAAAAAAAAAAAGTTCACGCTGCTGGCTGAGATAACGCCCCGCTGACGTTAAAGCAGCTCCCGGGAACAGAGACGTGCTTTATGAGCCTGACACTTCCTCTCAAACAAACCTTGCGGCTTGGGTTCCCCTTTTAATTTTCTCTCCCTTTTCTGGGGACCCCCCCCAGCAGCTCCCCCCCAGGGAGAAGCAGCTCTCGCTTTGCATGGGCCGTGCCACTCGTCGTCTCACTGGCCACGCGGCTACCACCACGGACTGTGAGCAAGTAAAGCAACGGCGGAGCGCACACACGGCATTGTACTACTTGTCTTACTTCATCCTCCCAAGGAGAAGCACTAACGAGTTGATGAGAGTTAAGCCATGTGTGGGTGCAGACGAGGAGGGTCGGGCTGGTGGGACACAACCCCACGCATGCCACCTGCAAGGTCCCTGCTCCCAGCCCGCTCGAGGAGGTTCCCTGTCGCTTTGTGCTGCTGCTGGGGAAGGCGATTAGCACGACGGAGCTGGGTTTGCCTCGTTTAAAGCAAACCCATCCTAGCGCAGCGCCGAGGAAGTCTCGGCTTTGCAGAGGGCATCCCCAAGGAAAAGCCGTTGGGGGAGTGCTTACGGTCCCCGCTCGTTTCCCTGCACAAGCCTACGCCTGCTCCCAGAGGGTTTCTCTTCCTTCTTATTGTAAAGCAAAACTAAACCCATGTTGGGGGGGGACCCTTGGCCCCAGAGGTGACAGGGGACAGCCTGCATGCTGGGCAGGGCCACTGGAGCTTTGGCAGCAAGTACCGAGTCTGCTGCTAAAGCAGCTTTCCTCGGTCACACTCAGTAGGATTAGATGTTCCTGCTTTAGTTATAACAACTATCAGCTCCTTCTTAGGTGTAAAATATTATTTAAAAAATTTAAAAAGTCTCTTGGCTCTGTGGGGGGAGAAAGAAGCCATGTAAAATAAATCATCCCAGTTCTCGGTGGTGCTAATTCATGGCTGTGCCGGTTTCAGTTGGGAGAGAGTTCGTTTTCCTCAAGCAGCTAGTACAAGGCTGCATTTTGGTTGGGCTGTGAAGAATATTAACAACATAGTAGTGATTTCAATTTTTGCCAAGCAATGTTTCTATCAAGTCAAGGACTTTTTCAGTTTCCAATACTGCCTGTGTTCCCAACTTCTCTCTAAAGAAGCTGGGAGGGGACAGCCCAGACAACTGACCCAAGGGACATTTCATGCCATAAAGCATCATACTCAGTATATAAGTTGGGGGTGCACCAGGAATCTTTCCCTCTCTGTCACTCATTGGGGCTCTCTTGCTTGGGCTCTCGGGCTCTCTGGCTCTGGCTCTCACTGCTGGGGGACTGGCTGGGTGTTGGTTGGTGCATGGTGGGCAGTTGTATCATTTGTTTTCTTTCCCATTCTTTTCATTACATATTAGTAGTAGCAGTAGTATTACTTTAATTACATATTATCTGTAGCGATATTAGTATTATTAGCATTGTTAGTATTAATAGTATTATTATTTTCTCTCATTTATTTTCAATTATTAAACTGTTCTTATCTCAACTCACAAGTTCTCTCGTTTTTCCTTCGAGTCTCTTCCCCATCCCACTGGAGAAGGGGGAGTGAGCAAGCAGCTGTGTGGTGCTCACTTGCTGACTGAGGCTAAACCACGACAATGACTTAGAATGACACCGAATTGGGCATCTGGCTCTATTGCCAATGGAGTGATTGCCATGCAGGCTTGGCAGCAGAGCCTGGCCACCACTTTGGTCACCACTGTACCCACC